AAGAGTGTTCAGGTGGCATCAGACTATGGCAAGTCCAGAACCGTTCTGTCTTGGAGAGCATTATGCTGGGGGCAAAGTACTTTGCTGGACAAACAGCCTGTTAGAGGAAAGAAGTTTCCCTCTAGTGTTGAAGGATGGGCATTGCTGTGATCTGGTGCACCGAGAGGCTTTTGCTCTCTTGATCTGGAGGGAAATGCTTGGTAAGAAGTTAAGTGTGTGAACGCTGAAGGGTGGCAAAAGGTTCAGGGGGATCAGGCTGACACTGGCCAGGCTTCATTTTGCCTGTAAAAAATGCCTCTCTCGTCCTTCCCCACACACCTGTTCTGGAGCAGAATCATGCCAATGGGCTTTTTGTCTTCCATGTGTGGGCTACAGGCTGGACTACTTGGAAAAGAGCAGGAAATTTGAAGATCGACTGAAAGAACTGAAGTCAGAAATTCATGCTTTGAAACTAGAAGAAAAGCAGTCTGGGCTTTCCTCTCGTTGGAAGGAAGTACTGGGATCCTTGGATCGCTCCTTAGGAAACGTATGTGCCCTAAATCCCTGCCCCTCTTGCAGCAGGAGCCATCCCAGTGTGGGTGTGCCAAGAGTGGTTGCAGAATTTCAGCTCAAGGCAGGTGCTATAGTGCCCTTGATAGTAAAATATTAGAAGCATGAACACAAAGGAGGAAAATTCAAGTCAAAACAAAATCTAATCAGTGTTTCCTGGGCAGGACACCAGTGCCATCAGCAAAACAATAATCATCTTATTTTACTGATTATGAAATCATAGTAAGGGTTTCAGGTCTTGGAGGAAACCAAGTGGTTTACTTAATAACACTTTTAAATGTGGTTCCTCATAGTTTGCATCACATTCTCATTCACATGCTTTGTGGTTCCTAAAGCTGTAAAAGTCTTGGTGTATGCTTTTCTTTTTGAGACAGGAACTAAACCCAGATTTTACACTCCAGCATCTTCCTGAAGCAGAGCAAGAACAGGGCTGGCTTTGGCTTCCCAGGTTTTTTGACATGTAGCAAAAAATGGCTCTAAGTAAATGGTTTTGTAGAGAGAAGGGAGGCTTGGAAAAATGCTGAGGGAAGGTGGCCTTTATTTTCTGACTATGCATCTGATGTTCTTTTTGGCTTAATGAGCATAGATATAGAGAGAGCATTAGATTTCCATGTGTTCTTTTCTTTTAAAGACCCCAGCATGGATGAAAACTTTGGAAACTGGAGATTCATTGGATATAAATCTTCAAAGACCTTTCCCTGCTTACTCATTCAATACTACAAGCAGCTGGCCTTGTACCAACAAAAATCAACACACAGGGCCAGTGGAAAAATCATCTTTTGAGGCAAATTCCCTGCTTGCCAACAGCCTGGGCACAGGAACCAGAAAGCAGATTATAAAGGTAATCCGGTTTATAAGTAAATTCCCAGATGTTCATGTAAAGTTTAGAGATCAGAGAAGTAAAGAGCTGATTTTGTCTGGCTCTGTCACAGCCTCTTAAATGACAAGTCCATGCGTGGCTGTTGCAGGAGTTTGGAGACCCTGCACTGCTGCACCATTTGAGACTGTTTATAACTTGAGGCCACCTGTTTCTTCTCACTCACAGTCTAAGCTGGCATGCAAAGCTGTAAGCCTGGGGAAATGGCCCAGAGCTGCCTGGGTGCAGGAGGAGGATCTGTGTTCAATTTTAGTTGTATCAGCCAGGCTTGGAAATAAGGATGTGCTCCCAGGTATAGAGAGCTTAAAAGCAGAAGGCAGGCACAGTATGTTTTAAGGGGCAGGGAGTAAGATACCAATAAATGCCTGAACAAGATCTCATGAAAAAAACAACCTGCTTTTAAATGTCACGAGAATCTATCAGGCGTTCAAGAGCTGGGCAGGCATGTGGTCTTGGAAAGTAGGAAGGAAATCATTCCTCTGTAGGCAATACCAGTTGTGCAAGGCATTGGAAATAAAGCAGACTTGATGTATATGCTGCTGTCTTATAGGAACAACACTGAAGGGGTTTAGAATCAGGGGCTTCAGTATATAACATTCCAGACCTGAATCTTCAGGGTTGTGTGCTTAGATCTAGAAGGAACACAGCTAAGTGTAGCAACAGGTGAGGAAGCAGCTCTTTCTAATACAAGGAACAGAAACAGCCTTAAGACTAACCTAATCCAAATAGCTGGGGTGAGGCAAGTCTGATTATTTCAAGGAGGAGAAAGAAGCTATTGCAGAGCATCTGGCAAAAGGCTCTGAGTTGGAGGTAAAGGGAGAACCACACCAAAGGGAGTTGCTTTGCTCTAAGTAGGAGTTCAGGGTGGCACTAATTTTTCCTTTGGTTTTCCTGTAGGTTCAGCAGCATGACTCGGATGTGATCTACATTTCAAGGCTTCCTCACCAGACTGGTACGACCTGGTGGCCATTTCTTTGGCTGCTGCAAAACGCACCTATCAGAGGACACTGCAGCTCTGCTGACAGGCAGGGGCAGGAGAGACTCGTGCTGTGGTTAGTTGGCCTGGTCCCATTCAGCTTCCAAGCAGAGAACATGAGCTGGGAGCACTGGAACTGCCAGTGTGAAGTGGCTGGTGTCTTTGGGTGCAATGGCAAACATACAAACCTGGAGGAGTATTGTTTATGACTTCTGCACTTTCGAAGAAACACTTTGTACTTGGCTACACCTTCCTCCCTCAGGTGTTTTTACCTGCTGAATGTTCTACTTTTGTAGAAAGGATGCAAGGCAGCAAGAGTCCAGGAGATGTTTGGGATGAGAAATAAATTGTACATGAGCTTGGTGTGTACCTACACAATAGACTAATTAGGTTTTTGGTCCTGTCTGGGGGATATGATTCCCACACAGCTGCTCAACGTTTTGCCTGCCAAATATTTTCCTTTTCTTCCCCAAACATGTCTTGGTTCACTTAACGATTTGCATTTCTCTGTGAGAAATCTCAGCTTGTAATTGCAGATGTAGAAGTGGATGTCTTCAAATACCTCTCATTCCAGGGGGAATCCTGTTTGGAATGCAAAGCTTCTCTTCCCTCTACAGCTTCTGACTAGATCAAGCACTTTCTTTTGCTTTTGCTGCTCCAGCAAACTTTGCATTCATTAACTTGTTTCCTAGGTCTGTGTAACAGCTTCCAGATCAGACAAAGACAAAAGATGCTGTTGGTGTCTGCTGAATTGGACTTGTTTCTGATGGAGAGGTGCATGTGGCGAAATGTCTGCCTCATTAGCAAAACCCACTTGCATTTTCTGGTTCTGTGTGTGTCTAAGTGTCTGTTTAACCATAAATCTTCAGCCTGAGGACTTCTGGGGGAGCAGACAATATGCAGCTGTGGCTAAAGTCGTAGCACAGTTGTGCATGTGACACATGATGTAAAAATGTTGTTAAAGATAAAAAAAAGCACATTCAATGAAAAGCTTCAATTTTCACTTCCCAGTAACAGCTGTGAGCTGAGTGCTGTGTCAGTATTACAACGACATGAACAAGGCAAGTTCTAAGAAGAAACACATTTTCTCTGTACACTTCCAACAGGCTGAGAGCACAGGGGGAGGTCTGGTCTCCAGCTTTTACCAGGCACGACAGCTCCATGGCAAGGTGCTCATCCCAGAGTGCTGCTCTGTTCTCTCAGCCCTCAGAGCTGCTGCAGCTGCTGGTGTGCAGGGAGGGGAGGGGAGGGTGTCAGTTCTTTCACAGCTCTGCTAAGAGATGTTTGCAAACTAGTGGCTGTTACATGCCCAGCTTCTGATCTGTCTGGGAAGAGCCTTGTCTGTGAGATGGAGAAGCTGTTGGAGGTGTCAGGCTGGAGGTCCCAAGGTTGGGTAGGTGGCACTGGCCAGAATTGGACAGTGGTGAGATAGGAAATGGTCCTCAAGGAAAACAGTGCAAAACAACTCTGAACTTGGCATTCTCAGATTTGGGGATGGGGAGGAGTGGTGGGATTTCCTAGCTTTTTTTCCTGTTTCCTCCTTTTTTGGTGTGTGTTTTGCCAGGGATAAGTTTTGTACCCTCATTTTGCTGCGTGTGCTTGGCCTTCCTTTTGCTGTCATAGGGTAAAGAGGGAGAGAGCTGCTCCATATGCATGATTGATTGATTTCTTTGGCCTTGGTCCTGTGTATCACCATGAAGAAAATGCCAGGGCCACTCTGCTGCCAGCTCAGAAATGAAGCCTGTCTGCACAAGCTGTTCTCAGCCTGCTGGCTCACAGGTGTTCTTGCTGTGCTTTGCTCAGGTGCAGCACCACGTGTCTGCATATTTTATGGGTGGCTGAGAGATCAGATGGGGCAAGAGGTGCTGGGATCTGCTGGGGAAATGCTTTCACAACCACAGATGAAGTCAGATGTACTGGGCTGTTGCAAAGAGAAGTGCCACCAGGGCATTAGTTTCCTTAAAACCTAAATAGGCATTTGCAGCAATTAAACTTTGGTGCTTCTGATGCTCATCCTCACTTTCAGTGTTGCCCACTTAGAACAGGCAGCTACAGATGTGTTGAAAAGGTTGTGAGGTTCTTTCACTTAAAGAAAATATGAGAAGAATGAGCTCTGTTTTCCTCCAAAGCAGGGAGGAGAACACAGATACCGTGCAGTTAGTGTTTAGAACAAGACTTGTCACCGTCAAGAGGGAGGTCATGCCCTGATGATGCTGCCATCACCCTAGAACGTGAGGCTGCCCGTGGTGAGGAGCTGCAGGCAGCAGATGGTGCTGCAGTGCTGCTCTGCCGCAGAGCTGAGCCAGGGCTGCTGTAGAGCAGTTCAGAAAGGCCTGGCTGGGAAACCCTGCCTTGCTCCTTGGGAGCCTCTTCCAGTTTGGATGGTTCCACGTTAGCCTGATCTTGCTCGCGTTGTCTTCCTGGAGTTTAACCTAACATCGTTTTTGATGGGAGTTCAAACCATGCAAGCTCTATGCTCTGAGAAGGGGTTGCCATCTCTCCAGGCTTGGTCCTAAAAGCAAAGTCAAGAGGTGGCAGCTGGTCACCTGCCAGGCCACAAACCTCTGTGCCTTCCCTGGGGAATTCACAGAAAGAAAAAAATTGGTTCTCTTCAGCTGAAAAGGTCGAGAGACTGTCCAAAGAGACAGCTTTGGGGCTGGGCCATGGGAGTGGGGGGGATTCTGGGAGTGCTGGGGTTCATAGACTTGAAGGGGGATAGGAGTGAGAGGCCTGGAGGGACAAGCCCATTAAATAATCCTGCCTAGTGTGATTCAGTCCTACATCCTTTGGTTGAGAGGGAAAGGGATGCAAGCTGACTCCAGAAATAGTCTTGTGCCAGCAAGTTTGAAAGAGAGATTCCAGAGAAAGAGGAAGTCAATAGAAAAAGCCTGAAAATTTAAATAGTCATATAAAAATCTTTTGACTCAGCAGCCCAGGAAGCTCTGAGGGACTTGGAGGAAATTATCAGAACTGGGGATGCAGGGGAAACTGGAAAGAGAGAAATAGAAACCCTGGTGATTCCAAAGGAGATTTGATATTCTTGGGCACTGCAATGAAGGTGACTGTGTTAGTGAGGATGTGGCAGCAAGAACAGGGACCTGGGATAGGTAAATACAGGGAGTGGAGAGTCAGAGGTTGCAACATTAAGCTTGTTCCTGGGGAGCAAAAGCAGCAAATAGCTTTGGAGCTGGAGGTGTCTGCACTGCAAGGGGCTCTGCCTCAGCCCTCTCCTTCAGGGCAGAGGAAGAGGAGCTGTTGGAGGCTGCAGGGTCCAAAAGGGATACTCTGGAGGAAATTTGTAAGAAATGCTGTTCTTCAGTGGTTCCAGTGCATGGTGGAGCTGATGAGGCCAGAGGGGGTTCAGAGTGAAGCAGTTAATCACATACCAAAACCCCACAATTGCTGAAACCACCTTCAGTCCTGGAGGGGAGAGGCTGCAGGGTCCAAAAGGGATACTCTGGAGGAAATTTGTAAGAAATGCTGTTCTTCAGTGGTTCCAGAGTGCATGATGGAGCTGATCAGGCCAGAGGGGGTTCAGAGTGAAGCATTTAATCACATACCAAAACCCCGCAACTGCTGAAACCACCTTCAGTCCTGGAGGGGAACAAGTGACTCCAGCATTTGTCCTGGGAATGA